GATTAGATCTGAGGGCTACATTAATCTATTGATAAAAGTTGCAAATTTAGAAGGCAGTTGGATATAAGACCATTTATGGGAATAATAGGTTCCTTCTTGTGCCTGTAAACTCCAGAGCCTTGGGTTCTTGGCCAGAGATACAGTACTGAGCATGTATTTCCTCCCCTGGAATGGAGTGAAATCCAAGCAGAAAGGGGTTGGCTACTCCTGTAATATTCATGCCACTATTCCATATGTATATTTCTATCTTGACATGATGGTCATTATAGGAGTTCATTGGATTTACTGCTGGGTAAGAAAGAATTGACTACTTGTGCGGAATAGTGGGAGTGGGTTAGGAGGGGAATACTGGGCTGTGTGGGGAGGGAAGAGGCAGATCTTTGATTGGTGTGTAAAATGAATGAAACCATTTTCTTAATTAAAAAAACCTAGAAATACATTACATAATGCTCTGTTAAGATGAATTTTCTAAAAGCTAATGAGAAAGAAATAAGAGCTGCTCTACACCAGAGCAGTGGACTTATGCCAGATTTAGGAGCAGGGCCCAGCTGCCTTGCCCAGTGAGTGGTGGTCGTAGTGGTGCAACCTGGAGGAAGAACTCTCACCTATTTCTGGGTGCTGGGGAATTCCGTCTGCCTTCATTGTAAAACACATTAAAATCTTTGCAAACAGGCTCCATCTATAAATCTTTACACATGTGTGTTCCTTTCTCTGGAATCCCTGTATATCACAGAATGTATTTTATAAGCACTTTTTGCAAAATAAAAATCACTTCTCTCCATAACCTAGAGTTCATGTTATATTACTATTATTGTCTGTTTTGCATTATTGATAGTTTCCACTAAGAAGCCCCTTACACAGTGACATTATGAATGGAATAATCTGGAACTGCTCACTTACAGTCCCAGTCTTTTTGCCAGTTAAATGTATTAAAGATAACCTCAGATGCACCACAATGTATTAGTACTTCCCGTTTGGATTAATTTGACCAAGAGAAATCCCATGCTTGATTTCTCCAGTTTTACTCCCATGCCTTGCCTCTGTCTGTAGCATAAGGTGGTCTAACTGTAATCTGTCCCTGTCAATCTGTCTGTACCTATTTCTTGTGCATGAAAACAAAGGGCTTTGCTTTGTATGTATTGACCATCACATAAAGGATGACATGTGGAAGAGAAGATGGATGATTTTACAGAAATATTTAACAGTTTTACAGGGAGAACATACATTTACTGACCACAACAAACACTGAAACTCTGATAAGACCAAAAGATACTCTAAACATAAACAAGCTATATCTATGTGATATATGCTTGTGTTAGATATTCAATTATTGGATTGCTTCCAACCCATTCGCTGCTCTCAACAAATTATTACAACTCATACATACACCAATGCATTATTCTGAGTCAGTGGCATGGATAGATATATAATTTATGATTTAAAGTGTCCATTAGCATAAGTTATAAAAGCTA